AGCACCGGGGCTGCATCAGGAAGGGAGGGACGCGTGCAGGGAAAGCGGGTGGGGGGCTGCCAGCGCCTTCGGAGGAGCCAGGTGCCTCAGGGGCTGGGCCGCAGCTGAGCGAACGCTGATGCGGCCCCTGCTCGAAGCGGAAGAACCCCACAGGGTGTATCATTCCACCCCCAGGGAAGGTTCTGAGGGGAGGGCGGCGCCCTGGAGGAGGGACCCTGACCAAGGAGAGCTGCCTGGGGGAGCTGGCATCTGAGCGTGCTGGGCCAGGAGCAAACCCAAGGCCTCCTGCCAGGACCCCTCACATTCCAGAGCGCAAAGGAAGCAGGCTGGGGAGGGAAATGGAGCCGCAGGGCCCAGGCCTGGGCAAGGCCGTCGTCGTTGTCGGGGACAGAATGACACGGTCAGGTTTAGGTTACGGAGCGCTCTCCTGGGAAGGAAGTTTGGAGGGGATGTGGGGAGACCTGGGAGGGGTCCTGCAGGGGCAGGGCTGGCGCGGAAATGTCAGCGTCAGCGTGGGCAGAGTCTCCCGGACAAGGAGAGGAGCCGGGCAGCTGGGGGCGGGGAGGGAGGCACCCCCCCCAGGTGACGGCAGAGGAAGCGGGTGGGGGTGGGCTGAGCACCGTCCCTGGGCTCCTGTAACCAGTACGAGGAGAGCGACGTGGAGAGAGCTGGGTCTGGGGTGAGACGTTTACAGGTAAAGATCTGGTTCGAGCTGTGACACGGGATCGCGAGGTTCTTTACTTCGTGGGCGTGGGGACCCACCCGGCTAACACTGCTTACACCTTCGTTAACAACACAGACACCCCGGGGTTCCGAATCTCACAGCCTACTTTTGTACTCTCCTTGGCTGAATTTCAAAACAACCCACCAAGCTGAACAGAGATATGTCTGACTGCCTCAGGGGAAAAATTACACTGTGTTATGTCTGGATCTCTTTCCTTTTGTGAGCACCTCCCGTGTCTCAGTCATTGTGGGTCCTCGACACTCGTCCCATTTCACAGCTGGGGCGCCAAGTCCAGAAGAGCCGGCAGGAAACAGACAAGTCAGAACTGGGCCACCCTCTGGGGCTTGAAGACCACTGTTCACCATTCTTCTCACTGACAGTTCCCAGAACTACCAACTAAGCAGTCAAGAATTTTAGATTTGGGATATTTTTTGTTTCTTTTTCTTACCATTTTTTAATACACAAGAAATGATTATTTTCACTCCTTAAGGCATCCCCCCCCCCCCGCCCCCCCGTCTTTTAAGACAAACAAACCAAAGGATGGATGGTGTCATGGGAGGGCTGTCCAGGAAGGGTTCCGCACGGAGATGTGGCCACACCTCCTGAACACGTCAACGAGACGTGGCCCGAGAGTGGCGCCGAGTAACTACAGTCTGCACTCCTACCGTATACACAGAAGCGCCCCCCGACGTTCTGGAGGGGTCTCCCTTCTCCAGCGAGAGGGAAAAACCACAGAGATGGGCAGGACCCGCTCCTGGCTGCCCACGAGCACAGAAGCAGCCACGTGAGCTCTGAGGGGCTGCTCGGGCGGGGCGGGCCGGGGTGGAGGGTGGAGGGAGACCAGGACTGGACACCCCCCTCCCAAGGCTGAGCGGAGCCCCCACTTCCCGCCCCCCTGGCTGCCGCCGCTGGCGGCTCTCCCACCGCGGTGAGGGGTGGCGGAGGGCGCGCAGGCTTCCCCGAGGCTCGAGCGGCAGGTGTCTGAGAAGGACGGCACCCGGCCCGGCAGGGCAGCCTGGCGCACGGGCCTGGGGCGGCACACGCTCTGCAGGCCTTGCCCAAAGGGGCCCCTTCCTCCGGACTCCACTGCCCAGGCCCTACCCCTGCCCGGAGGAGGGAGGGCGCAGCGTGCGGCCCGACGCCCCTCGGCGCCCTCCTGACAGCCTCCCCCGACCCACGGCCTTCGCTCCGCTTCTCCCGGGGGGCGGCCTCCCCGCGGCGAGCGCTGCGGCTGGCGCCCCGACCTGGTGAGGGCACCCCCCCCCCACGCGTTCCCGCGCTGCCGCCCCCGCCACGACCCGGGTCGTCTGCCGCTGTGGGATTCCGGCCCCAAGGCAGCCTCCGCGGCCTCTGCACCGAGCCCCAGGGCGCAGCCACCAGGGGACCCGGGCTTCGCCCCACCTTGGGGGCTCCAGGTGATCCGTGATGGCGCGGGGGCCGCGGCACGTGCTCACGCCGTGGGCTTACTTCCCCAAACTCGGTCTGCGCGGCTCGGACGACGCTTGTACAGGAACAGGTCCCCGTAGGACACGAGGGCTCGTCTCCTTGGGGGGGGGGGGACATCCCTGCCCAGCGCGCCTCATAGCTCCCAGGTTTTCAGCTGTAAAGGCGGTTTGGCCTCTGCTGGCAGGTGAGCAGGCCCGTCTGCTTCACATGCAGCCTCCATCCTGTGGTCGCTTCTTGTCAACCTAACTTGAAATGACTTTTAAATCGTCCTTGGAGGACCTGGGATGGCTGCCCTGCCCTTCATGCGTCTTGAATAATCCATCCAGTTTGTAAAGGGAATGAAAATGCAAGTGGCAAAGGATTAAACTGCAGCCCTGTCCATCGGGAAATGTACGAGCGAGGGCAGCCGCGTCATCCCTGCCAATGTCAGGGAGGAGGTGGCATGCTCCTTCCCCTTTTAGGAAGAGCCAAGCACACAAAAGTCCTTTTTCTAAAAAAAAGAAAAGGAAAGAATAGTGTCGGATTCTTGTCAGTAAGTAGTTGATCCATTAAGGCTTGAACTGAGATCTGGTGAAATCTTGCCCCAGAGAATCCCAAGTTACCAGTTAATCTGACAACAGAGGCAGAAACCTCCATCCGTCCGTGGAGCGAGGGTGGGAGAAGCTCCTGGAGCATGTCTCCCCTGTGATACAAAGGGAGTTCTGGACATAAAGCTGTCGGCTGCACCACAGACCTTCCATCTGACGGAAACAGCAAAAGAGAAAACGGGAAATCGGCCAAGATAAGATAATGTTTCTTTAACCCGTGCTGGTAGCAGGTAAGTGTTCAGGCCCCAAAGGTGAGGCCAAGGAAAAGCCCTCAGGGAAATGAACTCTGGACGCAGAAAAGAAACCCTCAGAAGTGGCTTCGTGTTACAGGAAAGTCAACAAGAACAGGAGGAGACACCCGACGAGATGGGTCTCCCTCCATCCAGGCGTCGTCCACTCACGCTGGGTTTCCTGTGATGCTGAGGACGGTAGGCCTGGATGGTCCTGCTCTAAAGTTCATCGTCCTCTGTCCTCCGTTGTTCACGTGGGCTCGAAAAGTCTTCCCAATGATCAGAATCCTTTCCCAGCACTTTCATGGGGCCTCAGTCTCCTGTGTGTGCAGCTGAGCCCCAGGCCCCAGACAGGAGCAGCCCCGTGCCCTGCGCGAGGGACCAGCCCTTGGGCATCAGGACATCCTGGCGGGAGGAAAGGTGCTCAGAGAAGCTGCACAGTGGTCCCTCCAGTGACCACGCACACACACACAACACAGAGATGCACACACACACACACACACACACACACAGGGACACGTATGTACTACACACACATGCACACAGACACACGTATGCACAAACGCATACACACATGCACATACACGACACAGACATACACAGACACATACATCCTATACACACAACACACACATACACGTGCACCCATGTATACATACATGCACACATACACAAATAGACACAGGCATATGCACACAACACAGATACACACAGACACATACAGGCTACACACATACACAGAAACATACAATACACATCACACACACACACACACACACACACACACACACACACACACACGACAGCAACGTTTTCTGAGAAAGGGAAAACCCACGGCACAGGTCAGACCGGGCAGCAGGCTGCTGGAACGGTCTGACTCAACAGCACCATCCAGGCCCCCATGCACGCTGTGTCACGTGTGACTCAGACACACCCAGCGGGAGTTCCAGTTCTGAGCAAAGGGGCTCAAGGCAGACAGAGTGCGAGGAACACGGCCCGGAGGCGTGGAGGCCGGAACGGGCAGGCGCATCTTCAAGAAAAGGCTGGAGAAATGAGGCGTCAGTGCTGCGGATGCCTCCAAACCCAGGCGAGAACACCATCTTCAGTTTCACGGGGCCTTGACACAGGGTCTGTGTCTGTGGTACAGGCGGCATTTGCTGTGTGCAGTGCAGCGACAGTGAACGCGTGCGGAGGTGAGAGCGCAGAGGCCGCGGAGTCAGCAGGAGAGACGGATCACGCTCTGACGGAGCCCCTCCCCACGGGGAGTAACCACTGAAGCACACTCGACGCCTGACCAGAGGCACAGGATGACGCAGAAGCAAAACCGCGGGTGGACGTGTGCGCACACCTGCACACACACGCACGCCTGTGCATGCAGCCAGACACACGTGTTTTCCCTTGGAATCCCCACTTCCATTCCTTGAAGAAAACGCACCGTTACGAAGCATCAAACGTCAGGTTCGTTAGTGAGACGTGACCCGAAGGACAATGCCGACCACCTGTCACTTGCTGGGCACGTGACGTTGATTCTGTCCCTTGTTACGCTCAGCACAAAATTAAGGGGAGGACAGAACACTTCATGGTGTGCGGCACGTTTTTCCCTCGGAAGAGTGACTCATACCCTAGTATATGGACAACTTGAATCTTCTGGAGTTCTAGCCAATGTGGGCTGCCCGGGGCGCCCCTTGCACCACCCGTCCTGCCTGAGACACCCCGGCTCCAGCTCCAACAGGCACCCTGTGGTCTGAGCTGCAGGTGATGGGGCCAGGACCAAGGAGCCGGGCAGGGCTTTGTTTGGGGTTTGTTTGGTGGAGAATCACCCTCAAGCTCGGGTTCCCGGTCCAGAACACGGGGTTAGGGGGACGGCTGGCTCCTGGCTGCCCTCCCACACTGCAAGACCAGGGATGCCCACCCTCCACCTCCAGGTGAAGATGGGGAAAAATATGAAAGCGTTTCCCCAGCCTGCGCAGGGCCAGGATCTCACCCACGGAGAGATGAAAAGCTCCCACTCACTCGTTTTCCGTCACAATGTAGCCGTACTCCTCCTGGGGAAGCTGGACTTCCAGCCGCAGGCCTTGGCCGGGGGGTCCCCGGGCCCCGGCGCCGGAGCGCTGGTCCTCCTGCAGGGCCGCCGGAGCCTGGAGCTGCGATGCCCCAAGCCCGCCCGGCCCCGGCTCCGGGTGCGGCGGCCTTTGCAGCAGCTCCTTGGAGTAGGTCTGACTCTTTATGTTCTCCACCCCAACGCGATCCTCCTCTGAAGACGGGGAGGCCTCAGGGTCCTCCGATTTCTTGATCTCCGTCTTGAAAGACCCGGCAGGACGGGGGGCTCCAGGCAGGAATGGAGACCCAGGACCCTGCAGGAGGTCCCCAAGTTTGACGCCCAAACGGCTAACCTGGCAGAAAGGAAAGCAGCTTAAGAATGTGCCCCAAGTCACAGAGAGGCATCAGCACCGAACTCTCGGGAGCGGGCACTGGCGTACGTGAGCCTGGGGCTGGGAGTGGGCCGCACGGGGCAAATTCGGGGTCTGGTTGAATGCATGTCGTCTGGAGACCCCAAGCTCTGCTTGCCTCTCTCTCTGCGTCCCAAATTAGGAAACGTGTCCCTAGACCCCATGGCTCCCTCCGCAACTCAGATAGCCGAACCCTCCGTTTTTTATTTCTGATGGACATTTGAAAGAATTGTTGGTGTTTTCTTCACCACGTGCTAACAGGCACTGAACCGGGAACCACTGACATAATCTGACAAGAGAAATACTAACCAGAAATTCTTCTTTTCCCCCCACAAGATAGAGTTTCGTAGAACCACACCACTGCCATTGCTTAGGAATTGATTTTCTGCATCCTTAAGACTAATACAGATGAGCAAAGCTTCTTTAACAGGGAAAACCAACAGAGCGCTCCGTGGGTGGGCGTCATCCACCGCGGGTGGACGTGTGCGCACACCTGCACACGCACCGGCACACACCTGCACACACACCAGCCTCTTCCAGATCCCTCTGGACCAGCACTCTGTCGAGGGGCCCCTTGGCAATGACGGAGGAGCAGTAGTCTCCCCATCCCCCCACAGTTACTAGGGAGCACGGGACGTGTGGCTGGCACAGCTGGGGAACTGAAGTCTTATGGACTTAATTTTAATGGGTTTAAGTTCAAGCAGCCACGTATGGCTGGTGGTGACCACCATGGACAGCACTGTGGGTGTAAATGATCCAGAGCCTGTGAATGTCTGTTAAACGAACCTCAGAAACCAGGACACGCGGGATGACCTCAACGACACAAAGTGGGTGTGAAGTCTTATCATGCGGTGTTATCCTCCCGTTTCCCTGGGTGGGGGGCGGGCAGGGTGGTTCTGAGGAATATTAATTTGAGATTATGAGGGTTTTTCTATCTTTTTCTGGAAAAAAATTTTTTTGTATTTCATGTACGTTCCCAAACTATGGACAAGAAAACTAACGTGACTCTGGGTTTCACAGGACCCGAACATGCCCCATCTTACCTCCTGGTAAAATCCTGCACCGCTGTCTCGCACTCTGTTATCTGTAAAAGACACGAGCTCATCAAAATCCCGGCCCAACATATATACGCTACCAAATGTAAGGTAGATAGCTAGCGGGAAGCAGCCGCATAGCACAGGGAGATCAGCTCGGTGCTTTGTGACCACCTAGAGGGGTGGGATAGGGAGGGTGGGAGGGAGGGAGATGCAAGAGGAAGGGGATATGGGAACATACGTATATGTATAACTGATTCACTTTGTTATAAAGCAGAAACTAACACACCATTGTAAAGCAATTATACTCCAATAAAGACGTAAAAAAAAAAAAATCCCGGTCCAGCACGTCAGCACAAGGGTCACAGGACATACAGGGTGACCACCGAGTAGGTCAGGCACAATGACACTGGCCTCATTCCCATGACAACGAAAACCTCCGCTTACAGTACAGGGATGGCGCTCCATAAAGTCCACGACAGAGGAGGGGTGACACACTAACTCAGACATGAAGTCAGTCAGTCAGTCACGATGCCAGTTCCAGGGAACCACGTATTATCCTCAGGTAGCTCAGAGCAAGAAAGAGCTGCTGAGCCAGGCGCAGTGGGCAGTTACAAAAAAGGAAAGTGAAGTGTTGAACCCACACATCTCACGCTGAGATGCCTCCAGACTGGTTATTTTCCTGTGGTGGCCACTCCTCTAAAGACACACGCAGGAGTCAGTGTGTGGCTCCTGTGCTCCTGCAGACCCTCCCAGCCCCGGGCCAGGGATCATCGCCCCCCGGACCATCTCGTCTGAGTAGCAACCCAGCATCTTTTCCTGCATCAGTCAAGCCATGCTTCCAGCTTCTAGGCAAGCCTCGTCCCAATCCACACAGGAGGGAGAGACATGCACCTTTCACCTGGCACGTTCCTGGGTGCCCACTGTGTGCAGCGCACTGCGTTAGATGCTTTAGTGTAGCCTCCGCAACTCTGAGGAGCAGTCAGGCAGGGGAGACGGGGCCTGCCCTGCTCGGCCCTCACCCAAGGTTCCCTGGCGGCTGTTAGTGGGTGTATGTATGTGTGAGTGGGTTGGGGTGTGTGAGCATGTGTGTGAGTGTGAATGTTGGCATGTGTGTGAGTGCGCATGTGCTGGGGTGTGAGTGTGTCTCTGTGTGTGAGTGTGCATGTGCCAGGGTGTGAGCATGTCTGTGTGTGTGTGTGAGTGTGCATGCGCTGGGGTGTGTGTCTGTGTGTGTGTGTGTGAGCATATGCCGGGGTGTGAGCGTGTGTGTGTGCGTGTGCCAAGGTGTGTGTCTGTGTGTGAGTGTGCATGTGCTGGGGTGTGAGCGTGTCTCTGTGAGTGTGTCTCTGTGTGTGTGTGCATGCGCCAGGGTGTGAGCATGTCTGTGTGTGTGTGCATGCGCTGGGGTGTGACCATCTCTGTGTGTGTGTGTGAATGTGCTGGGGTGTGAGCATGTCTGTGTGACTGTGTATGTGCATTGCTGGGGTGTGAGCGTGTCTGTGTGTGTGAGAGTGCATGTGCTAGGGTGTGAGTGTATCTGTGTGTGTGTGTGTGCATGTGCTGGGGTGTGAGCATGTCTATGTGTGAGTGTGCATGTGCTGGGGTGTAAGCGTGTCTGTGTGTGTGTGTGTGTGTGTGCATGCGCCGGGGTGTGTGTCTCTGTGTGAGTGTGCATGCACTGGGGTGTGAGCATTTCTGTGTGTGTGTGTGTGTGCATGCGCCAGGGTGTGAGCATGTCTCTGTGTGTGAGTGTGCACGCGCCGGGGTGTGAGCGTGTCTGTGTGTGTGAGTGTGCATGCGCCGGGGTGTGAGCATGTCTGTGTGTGTGTGAATATGCTGGGGTGTGAGCATGTCTGAGTGTGTGTGTGCATGTGCTGGAGTGTGAGCGTGTCTCTGTGTGTGTGAGTGTGCATGTGCCGGGGTGTGAGCATGTCTGTGAGTGTGTGCATGGGCCGGGGTGTGAGCGTGTCTCTGTGTATGTGTGTGCATGTGCTGGGGTGTAAGCGTGTGTGTGTGTGCGCGCGCGCATGCGCTGGGGTGTGAACGTGTCTGTGTGTGTGTGTGCATGCAATGGGGTATGAGCGTGTGTCTGAGTGTACATGCGCTGGGGTGTGAGCGTGTCTGTGTGTGTGTGCATGCGCTGGGGTGTGACCATCTCTGTGTGTGAGTGTGTGTGAATGTGCTGGGGTGTGAGCATGTCTGTGTGACTGTGTGTGTGCATGTGCTGGGGTGTGAGCGTGTCTGTGTGTGTGAGAGTGCATGTGCTGGGGTGTGAGTGTGTGTGTGTGTGCATGTGCTGGGGTGTGAGCATGTCTCTGTATGTGTGAGTGTGCATGTGCTGGGGTGTAAGCGTGTCTGTGTGTGTGTGTGCATGCGCCGGGGTGTGTGTCTCTGTGTGAGTGTGCATGCACTGGGGTGTGAGCATTTCTATGTGTGTGTGTCTGTGTGTGTGTGTGCATGTGCCAGGGTGTGAGCATGTCTCTGTGTGTGTGTGAGTGTGCACGCGCCGGGGTGTGAGCGTGTGTGTGTGAGTGTGCACGTGCCAGGGTGTGAGCGTGTCTGTGTGTGAGTGTGCACGCGCCGGGGTGTGAGCGTGTCTCTGTGTGTGTGGGTGAGTGTGCACGTGCCGGGGTGTGAGCGTGTCTGTGTGTGTGTGTGTGTGTGTGTGTGTGTGTCAGTGTGCGCCAGTGGGCGTGTGCTGGGGTGTGGGGATCTCTGCTCTCCCTGAAGCAGCCTCAGAGGCTGGTGTGAGCCTCAGACATTTGAATGAACCTCTTTCACTTTATTATTCAAATATTTGCCTCCACAGTACTCACTCACACAGTCCGGACAAAACCTCTTTCACTCCTGTTTTTGCTCACCCGGAACCTCGCACGGAGGCATCACAGCCCCCTCCTCCAGAGAGCAATTCGCCCTTCAGCGAAAGTGCTCTGGAAGGCTCAGCCTGCGAAGGAGGCTTTCAGAGGCAAAAGTTCAGGCAGACACAAATCGTTAACATGAATCCCACCTCGCAGCAGAAAGAACGCAGCCCAACGCGCCACGTGCACACGCGGCGAGCGGCCGGGAGGCACTCACCTGGCACGCCATCTCTGTGGCGCGCGGCCCCCGAGCGGCCCGCCTGTCCTCTCGGCCCTCCGCCGCCTCTCCCGGCGCCATCCTGCTCCCCTTCTGCGCGCCCGCCTGGCATCGCGTTCGCTATCGCACGGGCTGCGTCGGCCACGTCCAGGGCGCTCAGACCCTCCACGCTGCCTGGGCGTTCCCGCAGGTCCTTCAGCAGAGCCTGAACACGTGCCCCTAGACGGCACACACGAAAAAGACAAACCGAGACAAGGGACAGCGTTAGAACAGGGACACAAGGATGCAGACGGGCGGCACCGGTGAGCGCAGCAGAGGGACGGGAGCAAAAAAGGGCCAGATGGTATTCTGCAAGTGAGGAGTTCAGTATTCGAAATTTCAAAGCTCACTGCATGGGTTTAACCGCAGACTGGATGATGGAGAACAAAGAGCTGGTGAATTTGAGGACAAACAATGGAAACGATTCTCATCCGTGGAACAGGGAGAAAGGACTGGCCACACCTCGGCAACGTGGCACAGCTTCAGGAGTCACGAGTGTGACTGGGTCTGAGAGGGAAAGGAGAGAGAGAAGGGGACAAAGAAAACAAATGCCCCGAAATGGGTGGGGAGCATTAGCTCAGAGATTCGAGGCACTCGGTAAAACCTCAAGAAGAATTAGAGCCACAGGACGGCCGCTCCCAGCCGAGCTCACAAGGCCGCACAGGAAACCGTGGTAGAGAAGATGTTAAATCGGCCAGAGGCGGGGCCGGGACGGCGGTGCCCCAGGACACACCCAGCGCCCTGTAAGCATGACGTACGTGACATGATACATAAGTACACACTGGATCATTTACATATGAGGGATGCATTTGAACCATTAAAAGAAAAGGTGTCTAATTCAGAAGTCTAGATTACAGTGAAAATATCCTTCAAACATGCGAGTGGAAGAAAGACATTTTCATGTTATTTAAAAGAAAAGAGTTACGATGGTCCCTCACCCTGGACCTGCAGTGCAGGAGATGCTAGGAAGAGCTCTGCAGGCTGGAGAGCAGTGGGGTGGCCCGGAGGCCCCCACAAGGTTTGCCGCAGGGCGGTGACAGCCCCGGCCTTGATTCCGTGTCAACCAGGAGCTCCTGAGGCTCTGACCTCTGGGCCTCGCTGATCCCGGAGAGACTGATGTTCCCGGGGCCGCCCACATGTACAGACAGCAGACGCTGCTTCCAAATGCCAACCAACCAACCCAGAGCCCCGCCCCGCCCCCAGGTGACTGGCCCCCTGCCCTGCACACCCCAGGCCCGGGTCCCGACAACTAGGGGCTGCCCCTCTGCCCCAGAGCCGCTGACATTATTCACACCAGCCGGTGCTGCCTTGCCTGCTCCTTCCTGCAAACCCACAGAAAGGCCCTGCCTACAGCTCCCCTCCCTCTGCCCCATCACCAACCTGGTGCTTCCCCAGGTGGCCCCCACCTCTGGCCAGGGGCCAGAGCATGGCAGAACCCACCATGGCGTCCCAGGACACCAACCAAGGCAAAGGAAATGGATCAGTACATTTACGAGACGTTTTTTAACAAGTGTTGAATCCAAAATGTGTTTCTGCGGAATGCAAACTTAACCAGGAAATTCAGCTGAGGAGAACGTTCCAGGGCCTTGGTTCACCGAGGATTTGCTCCTGTTCTCCGCTGGACCATCCTCAGCGCAGAGCTGTGTCCCTCCTAACAAGGGTCCAAGAGGTAGACTCCCTGCCCCGACTGTGCTCTGCGAGGATGTTTCACCACCTCGCAGTTAAGCCCCTGAGTCGCGCTGTTGGCCGGTTTCAGGGAGTCCAGAACATTTCCTCCTAAGAGTCCACTTTCTCTCCGATTCCAGATTTAGGAACAGGACCAGTGGGATTACTGTGCTAGAACCGTAATGCAAATGGGGGCACACGGGTATCAGGGTGACAGTTCAGACCCTGGGTAGCAAGTCGGCTGTGGACTGAACTTGTGGCTGAAGCAGGCAGACTCTCCTGGGCACGGCCTGGCCTGTGGGCGGCCGTGTCCGCATCTCCTGACTCCCTGGTGCTGTCCTCTGTGCAGGGGGCCAGGGTCTGTCACCGCCCTGTGACCTTTTTGCCCACACATGTCCCTCCCCCAAGCTGCTCTCAGGCTGCCTGGGTGGGAGACACACATTCCAGGTCATGAGGGAGGTGGATAATCAGTGAGAGATTCAGGCCTCCCAGAGGGTCTCAAACCTAAACGGCAGAGCTCAAGAGCAGGAACTCCCCTCCCACCCTTCGTTCTTTCCTTCCTTCCACAAATGTTCGCTGCACATTTTCTGTGCTCAGCTACCTGTCAAGGTGCAGGAATAATGCAGTTAGCAGAGCACTTGCTTCCATGGAACGTTCATCTATAGTAGAAGAAACAGAAAATAAACAATTAAAAACACATACAATGTCTGGTGGTGACGGGGCTGTGGGAACAATAATGCAGAGCGTGGAGGATGGGGCAGTGGGGAGGGACGATGCTGTGTTAGACAGGATTGTCGGAGAAAAGCTCAGAGACCCAAAGAAGGGAAGCCCTGAGCCCAGGGACTATCTTAAGGAAACGCTCTGCGGGCAGAGGAAACAGCAAGCGCAAAGGCCCTGGGGCAGGAGCACTGGAAGGACAGAAAGGCGGCCAGAATGGGTGACCTGGAGCGGCCAGAGTGGGTGACCTGGAGTGGCCAGAGTGGGTGACCTGGAGCAGCAAGCGGGGTGACCTGGAGCAGCAAGCGGGGTGTGAAGTCGGGGGCACTTTACAGGGTCTCAGACCATGAAAAGGACCTGGATTTTTGCTGAGTGGGATGGGAAGCCCTTGCTGGGTTTTGAGCAGTGAGCCGTCATCTGGTTTACAATTTTAAGAGGCCTGCAGGCTTGAGACAAGGTCAGAGGCGGGAGGCCGAAGGAGGCTTCTGCAGGAACCCAGCTGGGGGTGGCGGTGCAACAGGCAGAGCTGGCGGGAGCCTATGTGTTTCTATGGCAGGTCCAGATGGACCGGATGTGAGGTTCAGGGGACGGAACAGAGCCCAGGTGGGTGACAACAGACAGCAAAGCTGGAGGAGCTGTGTGAGGTCAGCTCCCAACGTTGGGGGAGCCTGGGCAGGGGTGGAGGCTCTCGGCAGCCGCTCAAAGCATCCCACCGGGTGATGTTTTGTTTTATGCAACCCAGGGCAGGAAGAATGCTGGTCAAACACAGGGCAAGTCAGACCGGAAATCCTAAAAGACCCACCACAAACAGGGGGTCACGATCTTCTGGACAAAGTGTGCTCTGCAGCCAGCCACACCCAGGCTCCAGTCTCGGGGCCTGTCTGTGTAGATGGGTCAGTAACTCCCACTTGAAGGGGTTACTGAGAAAACGAAATCAAATGTTTAGACTGTCTACCACGTCTAATGACCAAATAGCTAAGGGGAAGTTGTGCCCCTCCTCCAGCAATCGGCGCTGACATTCGATAACTCCGAGAAACCCTCCTCACAGTTACCTCATGTCCTTCCCCTTAACTTCCCTCAGCTCTATTCTCCTTATTTGGAGGGAAGAGCAGAAATAGACCTGCAGCGTGAAAACACTCATGTTCTTTAAGATAAAGACCAGAGAACGGGAGAGACTTTCCGTGGGCCTCTCTAACTATAATAAGAAACATCCGTCTTCAAAATGGTATAATAAAATATAATTCCTAACATTGTGTCCTCTCATCCAAAAAAGAAACTTTTCAGATTACCAATAGTGAAAAACAGCTCACAACCCCACAGGTATACAGTGGTAGATGCTAAGCGGCTGACCACTTAGAAGGAGGGCAATTAACTCGTGTCAGCGACCATCTCCCGCGTCAGTGCGGTTGACCACGGTGAGTCAGCTCGGAGGCACCCACTGTCAGTCCTCTGAAGATGAGGAGAAGTGAGGAAATCCTCTTTAAAGAGTGTAGCCAGCCCTGGTGGACTGGAGGGACCGTGGCGCAGAGCACAATCAAATACCACATGCATCAGAGTGAGACGCTCTGTTCCGGCTGCCGCCCCATGTAATTCCGAGATCCGGCCGGCTTATAATGACATTTTAAGTAGCTTTCAATGTGCCAAGTGGGCTCTAGCAGAGCAATTACATGAAATGTCAGGACATCAAATATGTAAGGCCTGAAGTAGGAGATCAGCTCCCATGAACAACTGCTGCAGGCCTGACCTACAGAAATTACATGTCTTTAATAGGGTCCCCCAGACAAATGCTACAAGCTTTAGAGAATAAGCAATGGTGTGCAGTTAACCTCGCACAAATCTGCTCCCACAAAGAGGATGTGAATCATACACAACAGTTTTTGCTCCTAAGTGCCTTTATCACCACGTGTACAGGAAAGTACACAGTTTAGGCACATACAAACACACACATCAGCACCATCATCACCACCATCACCATTATCACCATTTCCACTCTCATCACCCTCATCATCACCGTTATCACACTCAGGGGAGTAGCCTAGACACGTGCTGGGTGGCGAATGCAGACCCCACAGTAGGAAACTTCCCAGGAAGGGCTGCCGGGGCAGCCCCTGAAATCCATCTACATTAACTAAACGGGCTGGACCAGCAAGGCATTTGGATCCCATTCATGGAAGCACCCTCTGAATGTGAGAACTGCTGAGCTCCCTCCCCCCAGCAAAGGTTGGATGGTAGATGCCCAGGTGTGCACGCTTCATGCTGCAGTTCTGCAGACAGGAACTCAATCTATGATCAGAGCCAAACCAATGTGTATTTACCACAATTTTTAAAAATTTAAATACAAAAGTGGCCTCGCACTTTTTATTACCTAAGAGTGACTGGAGTTCATGGGACTTGCCTGAATTTTAGCCCAGCGAACGAGCCCCGGCCAATGCGCTGCAGGGACGTGCAGAGGAGAAGCGGCAGCTGCGCGCGGCCACACCCGGGTCAGCCGTGCGGTGCGAGGCCTCACAAACGCGCACGGAGCACCGAAAGGCACAGCGGTGCTCACAGCACCTGCCTGGTGGTGGTGAGATCCAGGGTGGCCTGATTTCTTCTCTCTACACATCTGTTGCTCTGGTTTTGCATGGTAACCATTTACTACTCCTACAGCTGATAGAAAGCACAGCAAATAATCCTTTACACATTCTGCTTTCCACAGAGAACTGATCACAGAATACAGAACAACACTCTAACGAGGGGCATTCCCAGCTGGGCCACAACCCGAGACAGCGTGTCCTAAACAGGAGAAGCTGGACCAGCCGTGTCTCAATCCCACACTTCGCACTTTGTCGTTTGCCCTTGCCATTATCCTACTGCACATTGGTCTTTTAATTTTATGTGAAACAAATTGGTCTCGACCGTCCTGCAGAAGGGCAGCCGCTATCTGAGTCACCCACGCCTCTGTCTTCCGCACTACACTCGTTGGGTGCCCGGCACAGCCAGCTCTCCAGGGCTGCGCCCCCGGGGAGGTCACACACCCTGGCCCTCTGAGCCTCCCTTCTGACTTTCTCGCTGGTGCTTTCAAGGTGAAACTGGGTTTTGAGGACAGGGCTGCTGTGTCCTTGCGCCTTCCTAGGGATCCTGTGCTCATGGCTCACTGAATCTACCTGAACGCTCCCCGAGGTTCTGAAGGATATTAGACCGAACGGCAGGGGCAGTTTTCCAGGGGTGCGTGGTGTGGAATGGCCTGCCTGTGACTGGTCTGGACAGGTAACCCCGGGAGGCTCTGGGGCTTTAGAAGAGGGCTGGTCTTTTCTTGCCTTGTCCTTTTTCACTGGGTAAGAAGAGAACCCTTCCTCCTTCCAGCCCTGGCTGACACCCCTGCCCCCAGGTGACCCTTCTCTACTCCTCTGCTCGCCCTAAAGGCTCAGCACACAACTTTGCACACAATGAATAGTCAGAGAAAGCTAGACTTTGGAGCTGAATGGCCATTTAAAACATTAGAGTCCAGGACCAATGAGCCCAAGAAATAAAGCAAATTGTGTTTAAATCTGCATTTTACACAGCTGGTTCTTAAAAGCTTCCATCCACTTTGCCTTAAGTGACCTGACTTTGGGACAAGTGCTATCACCTGCCATCTCAAGCTGCAGTTTCCTCATCAGGAAAACGAGGCTGACAATAACACCATCTTTCATGGCTGACGTGAAGAGCAAATGATACCATTCATCCACTCAGCAAACACCCTGCAAGGCACATGCTGAGTCCTGGGTGCAAATGTGAGAAAAGCAGCACAGTTTGCTGGCTTCCGTAAGCTGACGGTCCACAAGCGGAGACAAAAGTTTATCAAATACATGCAAATGCGCAAGTCAGACTGTGAGACACGCTCCAGAGAAAAGTACAGCCCCGCGAGGGCTTCCCTCGAGGTGGGGTAGGGTGAGGTAAGCTCCTCTTGTTGGGGGATCGAGCACTTTCCAAACAGTCAAGGTGAAATGTGCCAGAAAGGTTACGTGGCCGGGGCTGCTGGACGCTAACGAGACACAGGGAGGCAGCGTCCCCCTCACAGAAGGTCGCCGCCGCCCTGAAGGCTTCTTGCCGAACGCTGGACACGCTGGTCACGTCTCGAGCTCCTAGTTCACAGGGCGTGTGGAACAGAGGAACAAGTACACGTCCTCTTTGGGGTGAAACCAGGAAAGCACAGGACATGGGTAAAAGGACAGCATCAACAGGCAGGAGAGCAGAGAGGTGGTCTCGCCAAGAGAAAACCCACGGCCACGGCGATCCACAAACCGCGAAGGATCACAAAGGGATGAATCTCTCCTCTGAGGAGCGAGGGATTCGAGCTCCACAGGAGGCTCTCCAACCCCTAGATCCTGCACAGGAGAGATGAGCCCCCAAAACACCTGGCTTTGAAAACCAACAGGAGATACATCTAAGAAAACTACAGAAATACAGAGAATGGGAAATTCGCTCTTAAAGGGCCCTTGTGCAGACTCACTTGACTCAAAACCAACGCACACGTGCCTGATTGCAAGGCACCTGCATCACAGAGGAAGGAGACCCACTTACTGATCCTGAAGGACCTGCTGGAGAAACAGGGACCACTTGGGATGCTCCCGAGGGACTGAGACACTGCAGGCACCACTGTGGAAATCGCCACCTAACCTGTTAGCACCCTGCAGAGAGCGCTGCCACCCCTGCACCTCAGCAGGGCTCACGACCAGTCAGGCGATAACCCCACCCGCCAGCGCCCCTCCGCAACCCTGACCTCACCACAACAGGAGGGCAGGTGCCCCACACGGGCACATCCCTTGAGCCCCACAGGATGTCTCCGACAAAAGCTACTCCTCAAGACTGGGAGAGGTAGCTGATACACCTAACACAGAGAAACAGACACAGAGAATTAGGCAAAATAAGGAGACAAAGGAACATGTTCCAATCAAAAGGACAAGACATAAACCTCTGAAAAAGAACTGAATGAAAGAGAGAAAAGCAACTCAGCTGATAAAGAGTTTAAAATAGCGGTCATAAAGATGCTCACTGAACCCAGAAGAAGCATGGATGAACACAGCCGGAACTTAACAAAGGGACAGAAGTTATAAGAAAGTACCAAACAGAAGTTATAACTGAACAGAAAAATGCACTAGAGGGTTTCAACAGCAGACCGGATAAGGCAGAAGACGAATCAGCGGCTGGAAGACAAAGCAGTGGAACTCAGAGCAGCAAAACAAAAAAGAACTTAAAAAGTGAAGATACTTTAAAAGACCTTTGGGAAAACATCAAGCGAAATAACATTTGCTTTACGGGGACCCCAGAAGGAGAAGAGAGAGAGAGAAAGGGCCAGAAAAATTATTAGAAGAAATAGTGGCTGAAAACTTCCCTAATCTGGGGAAGGGAACAGACATCCAGGTCCCAGAAGCCCAGAGGGTTCTGAAGATGAACCCAAAGAGACACATACCAAGACACATTATAATTACAATGGTAAAAGTTAAGGATAAAGAGAATCCTAAAAGCAGCAAGAGAAAAACAGCTTGTTCCATACAAGGGAACCCCCGTGAGGCTATCAGCAGATTTTTTAGCAGAAAGTTTGCAGGCCAGAAAGAAGTGGCATGACATATTCAAAGTGCTGAAAGGAAAAAACTTCCAACCAAGAATTCTCTACCCAGCAAGGTCATCATTCCTTTTTCATGGATTAGAAAAATTAATATTGTGAAGATGTCCATACTACCCCAAGCAATTTACAGATTCACTTCAATCTCTATCAGAATTCCAATGGCATATTTCACAGAACTACAACAAATCATTCCAAAATCTGTAAAACCACAGAAGACCCTGAATATCCAAAACAATATTGAGAAAGAAGAACAAAGCTGAAGGCATCAAGCTCCCTGACTTCAGACTATACTACAAAGCCTCAGTTATAAAAACAGCATGGTACTGCACAAAAGCACACACATAGATCAATGGAACAGAACTGAGAACCCAGCAGTAAGCCCACACTTATATGGTCAATTAATCTACAATAAGGGAGGCAAGAATATACAATGGAGAAAAGGCAGTCTCTTCAATAAATAGTGTTGGGAAAACCGAACAGCCACATGTAAAAGAATGAAACTGGACTACCATCTTATACCATACACAAAAATTAACTTAAAATGAATGAAACACTTGAATGTAAGACCTGAAACCATGAAATTCCTAGAAGAAAACATATGCAGTAACCTCACTGACATGGATCTTAGAGATGTTTTTGTGGACCTAACACCAAAAGCAAGGGAAGCAAATGCAAAGCATAAACAAATGGGGCTACATCAAACTAAAAAGCTTCTGCAAAGCAAAGAAAACCATCATCAAAATGAAAAGGCACCCTACTGAATGGGAGAAGAGACCTGAAAAGCATATAATAACAAGGGGCTAATATCCAAGATATAAAAAGAACTCATACAACTCAATGACAAAAAGCCAAAAACCTGATTAAAAAATGGGCTGAGGATCTGAATAGACATTTTCCCAGGAAGACATACAGATGGCCAACAGGCACATGAAAAGATGCTCAACATCACTCATCATCAGAGAAATGCGAAGCAAAACCACAATGAGGTATCACCTCCTTGACATCACCTGTCAGAACAGCTATTATTGAAAAGACAAGAAATAACAAGTGTTGGACAGAATGTGGAGAAAAGGGAGCCCTCGTGCACTATTGGTGGGAATGTAAACTGGGGCAGCCACTTTGGAAAAGAATACGGAGATTTCTCAAGAAATTAAAAGCAGAGCCACCATATGACCCGGCAATTCCACTCTTGTGTACTTACCCAAAGAAAACAAAAACACTAATTCAAAAGATATATGCACCCCCATGTTCATTGCAATAGCCAAGATATGGAAGCATCCTAAGCATCCATCAACAGATGAATGAATAAAGAAGATGTGGTGGGACTTCCCTAGCGGTCTGGTGGTGAAGACTTCACCTTCCAAGGCAGGGGGTGCAGGTTCGATCCCTGGTAGGGGAACTAAGATCCCACATGCCTCAGGGCCAAGGAACTGAAACATAAAACAGAAGCAATATTGCAGCAAATTCAGTAAAGAATTAAAAAAAAAAAAAAACTTAAAAAAAAAAAAAAGGATGTGGTACATACATATATACAATGGAATATTACTCAGTCATGAAAAAGAATGAAATTCTGCCATTTGCTACAACATGGATGGACCTAGAGGGTATTAAGCTAGTGAAATAAATTGGACAGAGAAAGACAAATACCGTATGATTTCACTCATATGTGGAATCTAAAATAAAGAAACAACATAAAGCAAAACCTCATAGATACAGGGAACAGATTAGTGATTACCAGAGAGGAAGGGGTTGATGGGGGCAAAATGGGTGAAGAGGTCAGCTGTATGGAGATGGATGGTAATTAGACCTTTGATGGTGATCACTCTGTAGTGTATACAGATGTCAAACTAAAACGTTGTACACCTGAAACAATATTTAAAAAAAAAAAATGATGCAAGGGAATAAAAGAGGGAGGAGAAAGCTTTTGCAGTTTAAAAGGCGCTTAACAGGCATGTCCACCAATTCAGTGACCGTCTTTGGGTCCTGACTTCAAAGAACTGACTGTAAAGAAAATTTACAAGTGAGAAATGTAAACACAGATTAGATATTTGGTGATATGAAGACATCAGTACGAAGTTTAACATGGGATAAAGCTGTTTGGTTAGGTTTATTCAAGAGTCGTATCTCTGGCAGTGCAATACTGAAGTGTGACAGGTGAAACCTGACAGCGTCAGATTGAATCTGCCAGCGTAGGGGAGGAGGGGGTCACAGAAATAGCGAGAGGAACCCAGCAATGCCTGTGTGGGCGTTCATCCTACAAGTCTCTCTGTTTGCTCTGAGACTAACATTTTACATGACTCTTTAAAGCATACAGCACAGCTGGGAAGACAATATATATAAAAAGATAGCCCACACTGCAACGTAGCACAGGAGAAAACGCCAACCAAATGATGCCGTTAATAAGGGTCACTGGAGAGCGGAGAGAGCATCTTCAGAGGATGTTCCCCGAAGAGCCCCACCAGAGCAGCCCCGATCAAGCCTCCACTTACAGACAGGGAGCGCGAATGGGAACGGACACTCAATATTTTTTTAATCTGTTGCCTGCTTGATGTTATTATTTGTATATCTTCAAAGGAGAAGTCATATTTTATCGAAATCGCACTTTATATTTTACGGTCTTAGGGAACGGCAGTTAGAAAACAGATGAGGCCCTTGGGCATCTCACAGAGGCTAGGACCGGCCAACAGCCCTCCTCCCGTGGGGCGACCACAGCAGGGGTGACTCACATCAAGGGCCGAAGCGGCGGCCTCGAGGGCCGGTCACTTCAAGGGCCCAAGTACACTCACGGCACTGGGGGCAGCGTTCGTTTCAGGCCGCTCTCATGGGGACCAGCAAACACCCATAAACCAAGGAGCTGGGCATGAGTCTGACCACAGGAGTGGAGAGGCGGAGACAAAAGGAAAGGGCAGTGGATTCGGAAGTCGTTTATATTCAATTTGCCAAACGCTGGGCGGGGCCCGCTTTGGCCTGTGAGTCGTGTTCCCTCATCATCTCCACCAGTAAAGTCATGAAATAGCGAGACTGTCGGGGCAGCGAGAACTGAACGCGGAGGGCGCCTCCCCCAGGAGACCCGAAGGCCCCCTCCGCCGCAGGCACCGGCCGCCTGAGTCCCCGCGACCCAGAAGCAGGACCAGGACAGACGGCTCCTCTCATCCCTCGGCCCCTCCCACCCCTCGGCCCCTGTCCACTCTATGGGGGAGCCTGGTGCGCGCGTGGAGAGAGCCTCGGAGGCCCGGCCTGGGCAGCCGCCCGAGAGGCAGAAGCAAGCCGACGACAAGCACGCAAAGGGTACTTACCGTCGTCCGTGCCCACGGCGTCCCTGGGGTCCGGAGGCGAGGGCCATTTCTGGGGGGCCGCCGGTGCCGAAAGGACCCTGGGCTCTCGCCAGGGCGTGCGCACGAGCTTGCGGGGTGCGGGGTCGCCGTCCCTGGGGGGCGCGGGGGGCTTCCGGGCCGCGTAGGCACCCAGTGCGGCGACCAGACTCTGCCTGTCCGCACCGCCGGCCACCTTGGGGCTGAGCTCGTCGGGCTGGAGCCTGCGGAGCGTGCGCAGCGGGCGGTCCCCGGGGAAATCGAACCGAGACGTGGGGGCATAGGTCAGGGCGGACGTCCGGGACACGAAGGTCAGCACGCTGTCGGCCGGGGGGTCCTCACCCTGCAGGGGCCGGGGGACAAACAGCAGGTGAGCGCCCATCGACGGGCAGGCCCTGAAGTGGCACCGGGTCTGGACCTCCAGGCGCTAAGCAGCACCAGGCACCACGGATTAATTCACCGATGGGCCGGGTCCCACGTCCACATTCCTCCCACGGTGTTTTTTTCATAACAGCTTTATTGAAATGCAGTTCACACGCCATGAGATTCACCCCATTCAGTGTTTTTAGCAGATCCACAGGGCGGCGCAAACATACAGAACCCTCTGTCACCCCATTCCTCCTCCCCTGGCCCCAGGCAACTGCTTTATCTATCTCCTTCTCCATGAATTTGCCTATTTTGGGCATTTCACGTAAACAGAATCACAGTGGGGCCTTTGTGTCTGGCTTCTTTTGATGAGCATGATTATTCCAAGGTGCATCCGTGTTGCAGCACGTTGGTGCCAAATTCCTTTTGATGACTGAAAATTATTCTGATTAAGGACAGAGCACATTTTGGTTTCTTCATTCCTCAGCTGGTGAACATCTGGGTTGCTTCCATTTGGGGGCCATTACGAATAACGCTGCTGTGAACCTTCCTGTACAAGTCTCTGTGTGGACCTATGTTTTCATGTCTCCCGGGCACGTGCCTGGGAGTGGGGTGCTGGGCAGTGGTCAGATCTGCATGAACTGTCCAGGAGCCGCCGAAACGTGTTCCCGCGTGGCTGCACCACTATCACTGTGCCGGCAGCGTGTGAGGGCTCCATTTCTCCGCCTACTATTTTTTATTTTATAGTACAGCTGTCTTCCTTTGACACAGCCATGCACTGGTGTGTGCTGTAACTCCACAGAGTAGCTTCCCCCGCGACTGACTCTCTCCTTTGTCTGATGGTTTTTATTTCACTCCAGCTCCTGTCTTTACTGATCACTTAAATCCCTTTTACATCCATCCAATCCTTTTTTACAGCGATATTCTGGCCGGTGAAGCTGCCAGGGCCTCTTGTTTTACAGATGATGTCGAATCCATGGCCTTTCCCTCAGCCTCCACTCACTTTGCCTCCTCACTCATTTAGTAATCGTTCCCTGGACGTGATCTCATCACACTTTGTTTTGCCCACTAGACAAAACAAGGCCCAGTTTCCTCACGTCTGGGACAGCTGTAAAAACGTTAGAAACCTCAACATTCTACCTCTGACGATGGCACCATCAGAATTTCATGGACAAACAGTAATTTCCCAGTCGGAGATTACTCAGGGCTGCTTTCATGGTTTTTCTCTGGGTGCAGGGACCGTAAACTTTAAAAATCTTGCCCGTTCGTATTTTCTACATGCACCTCCCTTGGGGCACAAATCAGTGTTTAGTCAGTGGGTACATACTTGGGGATCTAGTTAAGATGTGCAGCCATCACTGAATTTAAGACAGTGGTTCAGACTCCCAAATCTGTCTATTTTAAAAATATTTGCGTTCAGCCTTGCAGGATAGATTTTCACGTAGCCAGCCTGAAGCAGGAAGCTGGGGTTGACACGGTGCCACTTTCTTTTCTCACATATGAGCGTGGGCAGGTCACCTGACCTCGGTTTTCTCCTGTCAGAGGAGACTGGCCATTATCTCCAAGATTGTTTTTAGTTCTAAATGATGTGATTTTAGTTGTCATCCAAATTGTATAATTTTGTTCAAGTGCTGGCTGCAATCAACTGCTTTTCCCTTAGAAGAGAAAAAGTAAGATTCATGAGAGAGAGAGACAGAGAAAGAGAGAGGGGATGCCTCCACAACAAGTAGTCCCTCCAGCGGTCTTGCACAAATTGGGTGTAAGTGTCAATCTTAAGTTCAGCCTGAACTTCCGTGGAGAAAGGCTGTCTCTGAACACCTGGTTGGGCCCCAGCACTGGGGGCTGGGTCGGCCCCCGAGAGCCTCATTACGGTGCCACGAGCACCGACCCTCTTTGCTGCAAATGTACCTTCTACTCAAAGGGCCTTTCATTATAGTCGAGTGGAGAGCTCGCGGGGGGTGGGGGGGGGGGGGACACAGCAGGCTGCACACAGCGCAGACGATCAGTGCCGAGTGTGGTCCATGCAGTGGACCAAGGTAAACAATCTGCGTGAGGTCTTTTATGCTCTGAACCAAATTAAGGTAAAGAGGGAAAAAGAATATTTCAGTAGGCAGACTGTAAAAGTAATAATTAAGAAAAAAACCTTCAGTTTTCACAGGTGACCCCAGGTCCTCTGAGAGTGGGAGAGCTTAGCGCGGCCCCGGTGAGGGTGCCCAGGTCACCCAGATCCTGGGGGTGGGGGGAGCAGCAAGGAGGGTAACCTCTCGGTCGCCTCCTCTTTGAGGCTTCCTATCCGGCCGCAGTGAGCACATAGAGGGAGCCGGCCTCTGGGCGAGGCCGCTGCACTTGGGCCTCACCTCTGCTGCTTAGTGACCTTTGCCTTGACGAGTTATTTAGCCTCTAAGGCACCTGTAAAATGGGGATGATGGGCGTAGCACCTGGCACAGAAGCGCTGGTAGCTCCTACTTACTAGTGGCTTTTACCGCTAGCCTACTAACAGCTAGTGGCTGTCACTCACTCACCCGTGTCACACCCGCATTTCCTTTAGAGCAGTGGGGACCTGAGCACCGGCCCTGAGGGAGCCATCCAAGTGGACTCTGTTCCACTTTCACCTCTGAGTCTAAAATCCTACAACTCATTTTCAAACCCCTATTCTGAAGAGGTTTTAAACTTCAGTCCAACAAACCTATGATGTCCAATTTCCTAAGATAATGCTGAATAATTGCTATGACTGCAGTTGCCCAAATCTGGAGATTAGCAACCTTTGGAAAGCATGAGGCCTGGCTGGTTACAGCCACTTCTGGCTTGTTAACCCTTCATACTGTGTGTCATACCAATCTAGCTTGGGTGTCGTTGGCGTGGTCTGCGTCGTGTGTGTGAAGCACCTGGGAACTGCTGCCAGCCTTCCTGGAATGTACCCTGGAACGATATTCCTCAGCCCATCGTGTTCCACACGAGACGGCGCAGATCCACTCCCTGCACATCCCACGAGGGTCTGCTGAGTAAACCAAGGGGACAGGAGGCTCGGCTGGGAGACTGGCCCAGTGCTGTCGGCACAGCTCTGCGTGACCTTCATAACTTTCTAACCTCTTTCAGCTCCACTTTGGCTCCTACAAAACTGGGCAGGGGGGGATCCTTCTTTTCTCCAAGCAGTTGTATTAGGCAGAGTACAGGCACCTAGTGCAGCACATGGCTCAGAGGAGAGCACTGGATAAATGGTACCATCAGCGTCATTGCTACCAAGCGTCGCCACCACCAGCAGCATCACAGCCACTAGTGCTGCTGTGTGCTGAGCTCTGGACCACATTCTAACGTTCTCCGGGGGAAGAATGCCTCCAACATGGACCTGTCCTCAAACAGCCTGCAGACTGAAATGGGAGTTAAGTCATAGACATTAGTAACTATAATGGAAAGTATATCAAAGAGGTTTGGGGATACGGAGTTTGGAAGGAAGTGACCATAATCAGCTGGGGAAATCAGGGCAGCTTCCTGGAGCCAGGTGACACCCTTCCTAGAGCCACAACTCGCATCACATCCCCTGCCTGCGTGGCTCCCAGCCGTGCCAGGGCCTGGGTACTAGAGCTGAAAGTCAGGGCCCCTTCCTCTCATGGAGATACACCTGCCCAGTCCCAGATTGCACAATTATGAGTTCCGACTGCAGGCCCTCCGAGTCCCACTGGCCAGAGAACACTGAGTGGATGAGACTTTTGTCTATACGTTAGTCACTCGTGCTCATCAAATATTCTCTTGTGCCGAGGATCCAGAACAAATTAGGAAACCCAAATTGAGCCATCTTTTGACCACAGAGCGAACATTTCCTCCGGTTTGTCTCACAGCCCGAAGGCAGCGTTGACAAGCACATTGATCAAGACACACTTGCTTCCGGCATGACAGAGCACACAGCGGTGGGGCTGTCCACAGGCTTCCTAATGAGACGGCCCCGTGATGCCGTTGGAGGTGGCAAGATTGGGGAGCTGGGGGTGGGTCTCAGCAACCCTCACCTCCGGCTCATTAATGGAGAGTTGGGGTTAGCCTGCTCTGCCTTTTTGGGCTCGGGCCGTAGAGGGTAATTCTGGCAAACTGTTCTGTCTCTGTCCGTCTCCACACAGTGGGAAGGCTGTCAGTGCTCAGTCCTGTTCAGGCTCTCAGCTACCCGCCCACGTTCAGGGGCAGTAGATTGGAGGTGTCATTCTCACTGACAGCACTGTCCCCAGGACAAAAACATTTCTGCATTCAGAGGAGCCTCACACTGGTCTACCTTTGACCACGACAGCTACGCTATCTGCTGCTCAGATACAGAGCTATCAGTTAGAAAACTCAGTCCCCAGTTTCTAGGGTTCACAAAACCTGTGGTTGAAGAGGTGAGGTGTTAAGTTCTAAACCACAGGATCAATGAAGTATGCGGAAAGTTGACAGCAGTACAAAGCGTGGACGTTAAGTTACGGATATCTGCAAACGATGCTCCATTACGTAGCTTGGAACTAGTCTACAGAGACGCTGACGACAGGACGTGCGTGTTGGTTCTTGTCTCCCCCTGGCACTGCCTTCTTGCTGCATCACCTCTGCTTCACCGGGCGCTCCTCCCGCTTTGCATTTTGTCCTTTGCAGCAGCTGCACCCCACACCCTCATGCCCGCAAGCAGAAGACAAAGGGAATGGACTGAGGCAGAGCTGCAGTCCGCTCTTCTGTCCAGCCCGGGTGAGCACGAGGCATGGGGTTGCAGGTCAGCTGCCTGCAGCATCCACTGGAGGACCTCAGGAAAACCATCACACGTGGGTGGTGTGTTCTGAGTGCCACAGCACCAGGCCATTCTTTGGCTTCATGTGTTTTTACTTCTTTTTGACCCTCTCAACAGACATGACATTTTGGTGTCTGTAGACTCCTCATTTTGTGGATAAGGAGACAGGATGTCTGGTGAGCAGAAGCAGAGCTGGATCTGGCCCCAGGCCTGGCTTCAGGCAGTGCCACAGAGAAGCA